GGGCGCCCCGGTTTCACCATCTTTTAACTTAAACACGTCTAACTGGTTGAACTACAACCTATGAGTCAACATAGGCTTATTCTTAAAGTCATATACAGATATATACAGAAACACTGGCTGGAGAATTTGAAATCCAGGGTGTAACACAGTCTCCTTTCAAGGGAGCAAATCTCTAGTGTATTTATTAAGAGTTCACCTGATGAGGACCTGAGGGTTTCAGTAACACACACCTAATGATAACACCTGGGACTACGCTGCACAAAACCAGGCTCACAGTGAGACTCTGATCCAAATATAGGCATGGATGTTTCACAAGCCCACTGACTTTACTACATTAAAATGTCATCAATCAAAAGTCTAGTCTGTCTCTGTAACAGTGCACAAAACAGAAATAGTCCCAGGACAATTCTAAAGTGAGGGGAAGGATACATCGAGGACAAATACTGAATATTAGTCGTAGGGTTAAAACTGTTAATGCCTTTCATCATCAGTTAATCATTGGTCTACAAAATGACACAGAATTGTAAAGTGACACAGTCGTAGGGACCACAACTCAAAGCTTTAACACTTGCATGTGGCCCACTCAGATGCAAGTTTACAGAGAGGTCATTTTGGAGGGCGTAGTTTGTGGTGCTGTTGAATCGTACTGTATTACACAGAGATGTGTTTCTGGTTCGTTGGTATAAACGGGGTGGACAAAATAATAGAAACAACTGTCAGTACAATTGTCGCACCTCTCTAATACAACAAAAAACTGCACATTATACTCTTAATGAAGGGAGGATTTATTGCAGGACTGTTCCATTACACTGACTGTGTGTCAGTCACACCACCAAATTAACTCTGATCAAAATCTGAAAGTGTTATAGCGGTAGCTCGAATAACACAGTATAGTAGGTGATCATTTTAATAATACACACTAAATAATGAGATGGACCTTTGACCTACATGTTATTCTTATTTTTTAGGGCCTAGTAGTTATGTCTATGTCTATAAAACAAATCCACGGCCAGATAAGGCTGACTGCATGAGAACTCCATTTCCTCGGTCAAATCGCAGCTAATCCCAGGCTGCTTTATTAAAGCTGGAAATAATCCACGTGGAACAAGGCAGACAGACAATCTCTCTTACCGATAAAGGGGTATAGGAAGATAGTTCTCCCCTTCAATGCGGATGTCCGGGTACCGCTGGTACAAGGCCTGCGTGTACTCCTCAAACACCCGCTTGTACCCTCAGGAAATGCTGTGTGAAGACAAACACACTGTTAGAAAGGCGTATGCACAACGGGGACATAAGGCAGCCGCAACAGCGCAGTGATCTCAAGGGTAGATTGTGAATTCAGCCCTGACAGTCTGGCTCGGGTGGATTCAACCATTATCTGTGGATCATTTTTCTCCTCAGTGTAAAGTTTTAGCAGCAGTGTGAAATCCCAGTCAGCAGCATGTCAGCACACTTTAAATTCAGTGCTTCGTACTGCAGCGCTACATGTCCGCTTGTGGCATGTGTTTGCTTTAGAGAAAGGCAACCATTTGCAATGCAAATCGTGGTATTTTAGTTGCACCTCATTGCACATAAACACCTTAAAACTGTGCGACACTGTTATTTAGAATAACCCCTTTGACGTTACCGATCAACTCGTGTTATTTTTAGCCTTAATGAGTTAACTTATATTTGGTTCGGCACAATTGCGTTCTACCTTTTGATTAGGTAGCTAGTGAGTTACATGGTAATGTTAACTCTCCAACACGATCAAGAAAACCAGTAGCAAATAGTTTAAATAGCGTTAAATAATCCTAGATAGACGAAGCACTTTACATGGAGAATAATCCCATTGTCCATAAAATAACGTTACAGACAACACAGTGCACACGAGGCATGGCAGGTTCATTTGTAATGTTATTACTTATTATTCAACAACGAAGCAATTTAAAGTGCTCTAGATAGTTAACTATAACAGGACGACATTAGGACAATATATGAGAGCAACAGCAGTCAGTATAAAGAGACGACTGTAACGGGATTTAACCTCAACTCGTGTTTGACAGCGGAAGCGGGGCCGACTAAATGTTCATGAAAACGAGCAAAAAAAACAGGAACTTCTAAAGAAAATGTTTCCTCCAAGTGTGTTTGAAGCTCGGTTGACTCATTTAGCAAAATAAATAACTAACATAACGTGAACTCTCCTCCACATTGTGTTAACTCCCCTAATGTTAGCGTCGGCTAGCATCTCTCGGTTTCCCGGCCTAACGTTGTGTTGTTGTTAGCCGGCGAGTTTAGCTAATAGTTAGCTTGCAATGACTCGCCAGATTTTCGCTCTTTGGCTTACCAAATTTGAAACTTGAGTAGAGGTCCCGTAGCAAACTGCATCTTCATCTTCTTCACACCACTGCTGTCTCCAGCCGTGGCGCAGCACAGCGAGAAAAGCCCCACAACGAGGAGCGAAAAACGTAACCACTTCATCGCCATCCGTTCCGGGGTTTGTTTCCTCGCTCAGTCAGATTGAGAGCCGGGGTAATCTCTATATTTCCTTACTGGTTGGTTGGTCCCTCCTCTTCCTCCTGCTATAATCTTAGATTTTAAACACAGCCGGTAACCACATTTAGCGCCACCTACTGGTGTGGCCGTTCAACTGACCTACAGTCACACTACAGGCAAAATGTTCGCTTGCTGCCTACCCCATACCACACCCACTAACAGGGGCCAGGATAACGAGACTGAACAATGTTATTCACGTTATTCATGGTAGAGATTTTAGCTTATATATTGTGTAAAATGTTGTATTGGAAGTGTACACTGAAGTGAAAATATGAAGAGAATTGATTGAACAAATTTCCCCCCAGGATCAATAAAGTATTTGAGTTTTTTTCCTCTCAAATACTCTTGAGCCAGAGAAACACATTCATAATCACCCCCAAAACCAAAATTGAATGTTCAAGTAGTATAGTAATTGAACTAATAAACACCTTTAGGATCTGAGCATAACAATATTAGTGTATTATTCTCAAACCTTAAACCCTATGAAATATACAAATGACAAATAAAAAAAACTGAACTGAATATTTGTTGACAGCTGTCTTCATCTTACATTATGTTTTTAGTTGTGGAGTAGGTGCCAATCCATAAACTGCAAACTTAATGAGATTCCCACAATATATGTTGTTCCTAAAATGCATACCACATTTAATTTCAACTTATTGATAAACTCAAAGTATACAGTGTTCAATTATGGATTTATTGAAGTACTGTACTTGCAATTTATATTGTGCAAATGCCACTTTCACTGGGGTTTATGGGTGATGAACATTCTCTGATCTGTCTCGATCAGATACATCATATCACATATCTGACAAAAATAAGTCACTGAAATGAGCCATGTTTTTAGAATAAAAAAAAAAAGAAGATTTAATTTGATTTATTTTCTCCTCCACGTCAACATTAAACTTTGCTCATGGTAAAAACATTCACAGAGAAAAGTGCTGCATCCAACAGTATACACCAGTAGTCCCCAAAACAGTTTCTTACAAAACTTGCAAAACCTTCGATGAGATAGTGTCTAAATACATTTTATTTATTTAAGTCATTAATACAATAAAATCAAAAGGACAAACTGCTTAAAAACAGATGTCTTCAATAAGCAAGCTTTGCGGGTGGGTCGGTGGGTTCGTCTCAGTGTTTCATCATTGCCAGGCTCTCCTGGTCGACAGCAGACTGCAAAGCCAGTAATGTGTCTGTGGATGACAGATAACTGAATAAATAAAAAGGTAAAGCATGTATCCAGCCAGATTGTGGTCCTTTATGAACATACGTAATGCAGTTTTGACCTGGCACTGGATGAACTATTTGATAATGTCATGCAGGCAATTTGCTGTGTCATATTTAACCGCAGTCCATTTGATTTGAGTACATTGCTACACTAATGGACAGAATCATAATAGATCTGTGGTTTGTACAAACCCAATATCTTCCGGGAATGATCCAACAGGTTGGGAAGTTCTTCCTTGATGTTGTATGAAGTTTGCTCCATCGCCTTGACGAATTCATCCACCCTCTGAGAAACAAAAGTGATAAAAAAAAAAAATGAGAACTTATAAAGCCAATAAAAAAAATAAATAAAAAAATGGCATTAGAACATGCATACTGTAAAAGGTGAACAGAGTTTACCTTGAGCTCTACATAAGCTTTCTCCTCCAGCTCTGCCACTTGAGACATGGCATCATACACACTGGTATCCCCCACAGTTTCCTACAAACACACACATACATCAACATTTTTGCACATTATACAACAGATATAATTAACATTAATTATCATTTTGGACTCTAGTACAGTCCTACCTCCTCTGTGGAGCTGTTTATAGGCTCTTGTGCCTTAGCTGTTCCACTGGCTGTGGAATTGCCATTCAGTTCTTTCACTCTGCCAAAGAACAAAAAAGGTTTACCTTCCCAGGCATGATATTATTTTCAGAATAAAATGTCAGTATTTCCATTACAAAAAAAAAATGTATAATCAAGTTGAGCTTCATAAGTAACATATGTACCTGTCAGCATAACGTAGTGTGTTCATTGTATATTCACATGAAGCCATGCCTGGAGACACCATAGCAATCTACGGAATAAAAAAATGGGAAAAATATGTTTACGTACACTCATTCGGGTGGAATGAAATGATGATCAGACCATAATAGACTGTGTGCCAAACAGAGAGTAAACCTAGTTTTAATATACCATGCAGGTCCTGGACTTTTCTCCAATGAAGGAATCCCTGAGGACCTTGGTCAAAGTGCTCATCCGGAAAGGAATGTGATCACTGTTCATTCCAAGTGAACGAATGCATTCCTACAGGACACAGGAGTGGACACATGGCATGTTAGGGTTGATTTTCAACATCGATTTAGGTGCTGTGCTTGCATATTTAATATGGACAGAGATCTGAGAAAGTCAGAAGAGAGTTTTCAATTTGAGAGAGCCGTGGATACTTTAGCTGTACCCTAATCAAGGTGCCAAAACAAACAACTCTCTGCAGCCCATAGCTACTCATCTGGTGTGTGCACACTTCCATAGCGGTCACATTCTACCTTGAGAGCCAGCAGGCTGCGGTTGATCTCGGCAGTCTCAACCAAAGTGCTGCGGTCGTTGCTGCTGACATCTGTGCCACGCTCATTGCCGGCTAAGTCCACCAATGAAAATTTGCCAAGCAGTGTGGTGGCTCGATCATTGCGTCGAAGGACAATCTGGAGGATGGCATGAGAGCGGGAAGAGTTGGCGTTGGCTGAGGTCTGGCCAGATGTTCTGGAGAGACAAAAAGGAAAGGAAGCAGCCACGTTAATGTTGTATAGTGTTTGAGCAAAAGAACGACACGTCAGAAAAATGTTGTTAAAATATTGATTTAAAAACATGAACATATTTTTTTTTTTGTGGGTAGCTATGTTAAAATAACTAATGAACTCGAAAAAAGCATGTTCTGAACACACAAGTACCTGCATGCACTGCCCATCTGTATCATCTTGATGACTTCTTCTGCTGAGGAAACATAGACCTCCTCCAAGCCCACAACCTGAACCTGCTGTCGGTCATCCTCCAGAACCCGGAGCTTGGCCTTCTTGTTCAGCAGGTCAAATACCTAGATAAGAAAGTATATTGGACTTTAAGGATAACATAAATTAGCTGATATTTCAGGCAAATATTCTTAATAAAACGTATTCATGGAGGTAGGAGGAGGGTTTTTTTTTTGTTCTTTCTTCTTCTTACTTTTCCATTGTAAATCTCAAAGAAGCTGACGTAGGCAGAGAGATCCAGGTTAGCATACCTCCTGTGGTTGAGATAGGTGAAAACATCCTGGGCTAGAAGGGGAAAGATAAAAAATAGATTCAAAGTTTTCATGTAAGTGGTCAATTTAGTCCTGAATGTTCTGTAATTTAAAGAATCAAGCAATGGACCCATATCCTGAGTTAATAGGATACATACAAATTATCCAAAAAAAAGAAAAAACAACAAAAACAAAAAGCCACTGGGGATGGTTTCAGTCTTACCTGCCAAGGCGTAGATTCCTTTGGCACTGTTCTGCTGTCTCCCTGTGAAATCACCCCCCATTGTCTAGAGAGAAAATGTGCCAAACACGCAAAAATGATTTTCTACCTATGGAAAATACTGTCTTCTCAAGACTAGACCACCCTTTATAGTAAGTAGACTTACATGAGTCTTCCCACTTCCTGTCTGCCCATAAGCAAAACATGTTGCCATAGCACCTTCGAAAATGGACTGCACCAAAGGTTTGGCTGTGAACCTAAAGAAAAAATATAATCAGTCATAAATTGAACTCTTGAACCAAGAAAATTATAATAATAGCATGTATAAAAACTACACCTCGAGTTTCCATTTCATCTCAAGTGAAATTACTGAAAAGATATAACCATATTAAATGCTGCTATCTGCACTCTACACACCAAGATATTTACAGACTGTGGGAAATGAGAAACAAAACACTAGACAGATGCTTTAAACTATACCCCCACCCCCAAAAGAGAAAATTCTGAAAATAGTAACCACTAAAAGCTTGTAAACACCATATCTTATCTAGAAAACCTGCAACCAGATCCATCTTGTTGCTAAATAAAAGGACAAATGAGGTCATTACTTGTAGACCAAGTCGTTGGTGGTGGTCTCATCAAATGAGTAGTCAAAGTGGAAGATTTGGTTGTCCAAGTACTTGGTAAGGTCCACCTTCTGTTTTGGCTCATGAACCAACAGAGTACCTTTTCCAGGTACAGACACCACATCTATCTCCTTTTTATTAATCTCTGGAAAACACAAGAATGTCAAAATAAGTAATTTTTGCTTGCATGTCATTAATGACTCTTATAATCAGATGATACTGTATACAGGATGTTAGACCTCACTCTGAATATACCTTGCTTGTTAAGGGGCCTCTTGCGGACACACACACAAATCCTTTGAGATTCGATCTATAAAAACACAAGATGTGCTGTAAGCATGGGCTATAACGGCACACCAGCATATAGCTTCATACAAGGCCCTTGGTTCTAGAGTCCAAACTCACATGGTCAGTCGTTGATAAGGGGGTTAATTCCAAGGTCTCTCTGAAGTCTTGGATCATGTCATAGAACTTCTGGTTTGGTCGAGAAGCCTCTCCAAACTAAGAGAAAAACAGAAGGAATGTACATAAAATGTGAGAAGGAACTTCTCTTTTGTCTAAAAGTTCCAAACGGGAACTTATCCAATTAATACAAAATATCTTGCATAGCAGAATGAGGGAAAAAAATCTCACCTTTCCCCTCTTGGTGTGCACGTCAGGAGGCTTTATCACACAAGACAGCCGTTTGTTGCCTTTGTTTAGCTTTGGGGTGCACAGATTTTTCTTCTTGCCTGAAGGTGCGTAGACGATAATATATTATGTTTTTGTTGTTTTTGTCAGGAGATCAAAACATCCAATAACACCTCATGACCTCACATCTCATTGTCAACTTTGCACAATCCAACTAATTTATGCTCTTCCTAATAATCAGAGCATGAAGTTAAAATGATCTATA